TCGAATTGCACAAGCCTCCTGCACGATTGCAAGCATCTTCTTGTTTCTTTGTCTACTGACAATAGTGAGTGACTTGACTGCGTCGATATCATGTACGTAATCCACAAGATGTTTTGTTGTTATTAAGGATTTTGGCACTTTGCACTCAGCTGTTTTCAACCATTTTGGCAAACGCTCCATCCATCATGCGAGTAGACAATATTGCCTTTCTGTACGACCTATGCGTATTTGCTTCCCTCCACAAACGCACTCAAATTGATATACGCAGTTTGAAGTGTCGAGGATCGGCAATTGTTGAAGCACTCGCTTAGTGGTGTTAAGGAAAACAAGTTTTGCAGCATAATAAGTTTATAAACCAGGTCTCTGGGTACAAAAGGAGATGGTCGTGACTCTGAATCTATCATGGTAATACGTTTTACTTATTATTCTACCTCTTATTATTATTATTACTATTGATATTACTTTGTTTGCAATTCTCGTCATGTTTTCTAATGACTAGTTGTTTATCTAACTGATGTGTAATTGAAGCTTAGTGCAATTTATCTCAATTTTGATCTCTCATCCCCTCTCTCTCTCTCTCCTTATCTATTTGAACATGACCTGGAAAACATTCTCACCTGTCTTTCTGCACAACTAATTCAATGTAGTTTGTTTACTTATCAGTCTTATGTCTCCCAATGTAATATATCCGTGTATGTAGAGTATTCAGATGACGAGTTCTACCGGAATTGGATGAATTCATTTAATCCTGCTTTATTCACCTTTATTGCCTGTTTTAAATTCAGTATACTAGCCTTCACCACTTCTGTAGGTTCGCTTTTCCCGAGTGTGGCTACTTGAAGAGACGCACTTGTGCTAGGCTCCACACCGATAAGTCAATTCGTCACCAACGGGTGTCAATCAATGTGGAGGTACAACGTTAACACTCATTTCCGTTCCGAACAGAGTCAAATCAACTGACCAGGATACACTGTCAAATGTAGTATCATATTATTTCATGACTTTCATTTAGAATAAAACAGTCACTTGTCTTCAGGTGTGCTTCTCAATTCCTTGAAACCTACCACCCAGTTCCTGGGTCCAGATGGTGTACACCTAGACATCAGCCTGAATAAATGTGCTGATATTTTGTGTTATCCTATAACTGGTATTTTCAGTGAATCAATTTCCAGAAACACTGTATCTGCTTCTTGAAAGGACATTAATATTGTCCCTGTGTGCCTAAATCATCAAGTCGACAAACTGTTGAGTTTAGACCTTAACCTTGAACCTTTATTGAAGACTTTTAGTGACCCTAATCAAGTTGCTTATAAACATAGTAGATGTACTTTAGATACCACTCTCGTTTTATATCATAATCTTCTCTCCAGTTAAGACAGATGTGTCAAATATACTTGGTGTACTTTCCTAGATTACACATCTGACTTCGACACTGCTGTAACACAAGCACAGTGATGGCATCCCTATTTCTCTCATAGGAGACAGTACACTATCTACAAGTGGGGAAGTCCTCCGTTGATTCACCTACTGTAGCTGGGGTGTTGTTCCTCAAGGAGCTGTTCTTTCTCCTTTTCTGATGAAGCCAATTTTGTTAAGTATGCCCATGACCTGACTGTCTCTATACCAACGGTTACTTCTCATTTCAGTCAGACTGCTGCAAAATGAATAAAAATTTTTTTATCAGAAATTAGTCAAGTCAGTGGTCCTCGTCAAATAGTCTTCAGGTTAATCGTCCCAAATGTCACGATGACCTATACGGTTAGCTAGCATGTTTCCGCTATCATAGATGGCACTAAAGTTGAAAGCAAATTGAGTGATAAATACCTTGGCCTATGTATTTCCTTTGATCATCTTTCCTGATCTTCGCACTTCATGTTAGCTAGTTTCCAGAAAGATATTTCGTTCGACGTTCTACGTGAAGAAGGAAGTTAAAACAAGCTGGTATCATTCCATCTCTACTGTTACAGTTTGTTAATTCTTGTGGTATTCTGCCTATACTTCTTTACTGATCCCCCACAAACTAATCTTTCTCCAGCTACTTAACAGAGACTACTTTGTTATACTGCGGAGGGCACTAAAAGCCGTCAGTAGGTCAAGTGGGGGGTGTTGTTAAACCAACTTTTCAATACTACTGTAGATAAACACATGGACTCCCGCAATAAATTAGCAAACATTATCCTCTCTACACACAACTCTGTCGCCTTGCTGCATCTCATTGGGTAGGTGAACTAGAAACAACTATAGGAGACTGAATGCACGGACGACTAAGTACAAAAACTCTACAAAACCTTATTTTGGCGAGCACATATTTTATGTGATAAGAAAAGTGTAAGTCAGGAAATTACCAAGTTACTGTGGAACTCTAAGTAAACGGTCACCTGTTTTTCTTCATTGTTACATTGTTGTCAATATTTTCAGTAGATTTATATTTGTATTCAAATTTTTACTGAACAATATTACCAATGTAAGTGGCTAGAGAATGTGTGGAAGGAGGGTAAAGTACCCGACGAATAGAAGAAAGGATACTTATTCAAACTACCAAAGAAAGGAGACTTAAGTCAATGCAAAAACTGGCGCAGCATTATGCTCCTGTCCATCCCAAGCAAAATACTAAGTCGCATCATCCTGGAGAGAATCAAACAAGCCAACCTGGATGAAAAACTTCGACTAGAACAAGCTGGATTCAGGAGAAACAAGTCATGTATTGATCAAATCGCCACTCTACGGATCATCACTGAACAAAGCTTGGAATGGCGGTCACCTCTCTACCTCACTCAGCTTCATCGACTTTGAAAAGGCCTTCCACAGCGTCGATCGATAGGTGATTAGGCAACTACTTCGCTACTACTGGGTGCCGCCTCCAATTATACATCTCATCCAACAGTTATACGACAATGCTGCATGCCAAGTAATCCACAACAGGAAACTTACGGAAGCCTTCAAAGTGAGGACGGGAGTGAGACAAGGCTGTCTATTATCGCCAATAATTTTCCTGCTCCAAGTATATTGGATAATGCGACAGACAACGGGTAATAAGGACACAGCCATAAAGTGGACCCACACAAAAAGCCTGGAGAATCTGGACTTCACCGATGATATATGTCTGGTTTCCCATAAACTGAAAGACATACAAGTGAAAAGCAACAAGTTGGCAAAACAAGCATCAAAGATAGGGCATCACTTCAGGTGAACATAGAGAAAACAGAAGTGATGAAGATTCCTGGCCAACACCAACAGTAACAGCAACAACAACACCAACAGACAACAATCAGCCAGCATAAATGGGAGAAACCTGAAAGAAACAACCTCCTTTACCTCCCCATCTGGGAAGCATCGTTTCAAATACAGGCGGACGGGATTGATGAGGATATCAAAGGAAGGATTGGGAAAGCAAGACAAGCTTTCATTACTCTCAAGTCTGTATGGAGGTCAACAGTACTATTCATCATCAAAATGAAAATAAGATCCGGATTTTCAACTCCAATGTGAAGTCAGTGCTACTTACTTTGCGGATCAGAGATTTGGCGCGCGTCATAAAGAGCATCTCAAACAAACTACAGACCTTCATCAATCAACCGCTGTCTTCGCTCAATACTCAAGATCAGATGGCCAGCCAGAAAAGATCATCTACAGGGATCTCTGGCAATGAGCGAACCAACCAAGTGGGAACCGATTGTGAAACAAATAGACAGGAAGAAATGGAGATGGATTGGCCATACGCTGAGGAAACAAACCATCAAGGGACATCACTAGACAAGTCATCGCTGGAGTAGAACCCGAAAGGGAAGCGGTGAGTTGGTCGCCAGTGCAAGGGTGAATTGGAGTAGGTCATATGAAGAGGAGATGAAAGCATGTGGGCAGACTTGGAGCGGGGTGAAAAAGTTGGCAGAAAACCGAACGCAATGGAGACGTGGGAGACTGAAGCCCTATGTTCCTCCAGGAATTAAAGGATATAATCATAATAATACAATAATAATTGGCCTTTTTTAATTACTATCCCTGAAATAAGAAAGCTAGATGAAATAGTGAACTATTTTTCTTATTCCCTTACGTTCCCAGTGGAACATAGAGGCTTGAAGTTTAAGTAGTAGTGGTGTCTATTTTCATGGGATGGAGTTGCTAGACTCATGCCACCTCCCCCCCCCAACCCTGCCTCTTTAACAATCTTACTACTGGCTTAGTGAGCTGAAAGAGTGCGTCGGTGGCCGGGGATCGAACCCCAGACCACATAAGGCGTGGTCGGCGAGCATTCTACCGCGGTGCCACCGTTGCACATCCTGAAAATTTCATATTTGTACCAAAAGTACCTGTTTGGAATACAGGCTATTATTATTACTATTACTATTTGTACGTCGACTCACTCCTCTCCACACTTAAATAAACACCTTTTGCTCACATTTAGGACACGTAGGACAGTGGAAATTCTAATCACCAACTGAAAGCAATTATTATTGAATTGAATTTTTGATTTTCCCGTCGATTGATTGGACCGAAGTGCTCGGTCTCAGGTTGACATGTTGGCTTCTTGTGCAGATGCTTCCCCAGACATCGTCGAAGCATCTGCACAACAAGCCGTCATGTCAACCTGAGACCGAGCACTTCGGTCCAATCAATCGACGGGAAAATCAAAAATTCAATTCAATAATTAATATGACCCGTTCCACAAGAGACAGTGGCTCTCGTGGCCCAAGTTGTCTAGTGGATAACGCTTTGGCGTTTGAAACTATGGGTACTGGGTTCGAGCCTCGGTGGGAACATCATCACTCACTGAGAAGTGCAGGTACATCCAGCTGACGAGTCCCAAATAGGACGAAATGCGCATCCTGGATTCCACTGCTAGTCACCATCCACCAATTGTATGAAAGCAATTATCATACTTCCACAGAAGAAGCAGAAGCAAGGGAGAAATCTTGAAGAAATAATGAATAAAACATATTATACAAAAAGCCATTCATATACTACTTAAGCATACACGCACACACACACGCACACAATCTTACCTCTAGGTTCAAAATGACGTTGATGCAGAAATCGATGGTTGAGAAAGCTCTCTGTATATACATATATAACAAGCATTTAGGCATAAAAAAAGAAATAGAAAGGAAAAATGGAATATAGGTAAATAAAAAACAAAAATGTGAACTTAAAAAAAAACTTTATGATTAAATTTTCAGATATCATAATATTAAAATTAAAATGAATACATATGTGTGTGTGCGCGTTGCCTGGTTTTGCCTACATGTCCACGTGTGAAAATCCCATTCTTTCTAATACTATAATTCACACACACACACACACACTCCATTTGCACTACTCAACATCACGTTGTTTCTTTGCTTGTTTGTGTTTTCCGCTCACAACATAAGGAAAGTACACGCCTTAAAAAGCTTTTGTAAGCTTTGTGTGTGTGTGTGTAAGCGTGTGTTTCATTGTAGAAAGTTAATGTTTGCCAGTCTGTTTCATTGTGATGTTAACAACAGACAACAGTGGGACTTGGAGTTACAACCGCCACTTCACACAGGGTAGTGAACCATAACATCTCGCATACCATCTATGTGCAATCCCAATTTCGTGGGTTATTGAATTATATCATCATCCATAATTATATCTTCATAGTTGAAGTAATAACCTACGAGTGCCAACTAGCACAAAACTTAGGTACTTCCCGTCAAGGCTTCCTCCTCCTGTGGCCGATTGTCTCCAACCATCTAATATATATCATCAAATCAATTTGCACCATGATGGCGAGTTACCTAATGGTATGGTGGCCACTTAGCGAACCTGACTGACTGATAGAATTCAGTCTGCATCAAAGAAAGAGGACTAGACAAATCACACTAGTTACTGACTAGTGTCCGATCAAAATATCCACTACAATCCTACAGGAGGTCAATCGCGAGCCCGTGCTAACGTCTCTGACTGCAGTACTCACTGGGTGACGTGGGTTCGAATATCAGAAGGGACATGAGTTCTTCGCTTCAAGATTGCAGATACACCTGTCTTGCTGACGAGTGCCCATTAGAACGAAACATGGGTCCCGAAAAGGCTTCCTCTTGTGACCGATTGCCTCCAACCATCTAATATCATCAAAGCAATAACCTACAATTTGATTGGACACTAGTTAGTAATTGCAGGAGGTCATTAATCGCACACCCGAATACCTGCTCAGTGGTAACATACGTCTCTGACTGACTAACTAACTGAAGGCAGCACTGGGTTGTTGGTGCAGATTCGAACCTCAGAAGGCACATGAGTTCCTTCTTTCTTTCAACGAGTTGCAGATACTCCTGCTTTGCTACTGGTCATGGTGATGATGAGTGCCGAATAGCACGAAACATAGAGGAGGTTAAGCAAGGCTTCCTGCCGATTTTTCTCTAACTATCAAAAATCAATAATCTATATTGTTTTAACATCAAGTGTATCAGTAAGAACACTTACACGCCCATCCCCCACGCCTCTTGACCACCACGACACATACACACACAGTAAAGTGTGTGTGCCACACACTTAGAAACTAACAAAATATGCCTCTTGTCAGGGTGTTTTTTTACTTCCTAATCGAATTATTGATTGATTTCAAGCATATTACAAGAATAGTTAAGTAAGGAGAATAATCTATATTTGTGGAGTGGACGCACGCAGCTTGCTACTACTACTACTACTACTAGTAGTAGTATTAGTACTCTACGCGCGCATACACTCTCAATCATTCACAAATACACATAAATAGCTTTAATTAACTAGCTAGCTATTCATGAGATAAAAATAACCTCTAATATTGACACACACATACTTATTTATTTAGTAAAATTTCATATAAACGTCATATAGTATTACTAATTTAACCATACAAACAATAATAGTAATAATAATAATAATGTAATAGTAGTTAAAGGCAGCCTTATAAAGTAGTTGTTGCTCAACAATTAACATGATGAGTATCAAGTTTGAAAACTGCGTTAGTTAGACAGACACATCAAGGTGTCACTGTGGAACATCTGATCTATCACATACGCCTTACACAGCCTAATACTGATATAAAAATACCTATCTGGCTATTCATCAGTTCACTTGTTGCTGTGTGGAGCCGACCAGGTGCGTACACATTGATCGTTGTTCAACGCATATATCCTCTGTCCAAAAGAATTCAAGAAGAGGAATTCATCATGAGCTGATATTGGTTAGAGAACCACTGGAAAACCACCTGGGAGTACTGGACAGCTGTTTCGTCCCAGTTTGGGACTCTTCATCAGTACGCACCCACAGTGAGGGGTTTGAACCTAGGACCTGATGGTTACAAGGTGAACTAGTAGACTATTAAGCAACTGGGACTCGATCCAATGGTCCTTGAAAGCTAACCTCTGCCAATTCACGATATAGCGCAACCGCTAGCCAATGTCAACAGTGGTGAGTATTTGTCCTCACACCCGACCTGCTGCACCCTATCGGTCACGACTTCCCACTAGAACCCCAGGTAACCACCTACCTGAATAGGACAAGTCACTAGTGAGCATCTCATCGATACTTAAGTATTGGTTTGTATGGATTCGGTTGATTGGTTACAGGATTTCATCATGAGCTGACATTGATTAGAGAACCATTAGGACCAGTAGGGTGCAGCAGGTCGGGTGTGAGGACATATACTTCCCGAAGACATTGGCTAGTGGTCGCGCTATGTCGTGCGTGAATTGGCAGAAGTTAGAATTCATGCACTGGCCATTGGATCGGTTCCCAGTGGCTTAACGTTCTACGAGCTCGCCTTGTAACCAGAAGGTCCTGGGTTCGAACCCCGGCGGTGGGTGCGTACTGCTGAAGATCCCCAAAATAGGACGAAACAGTTGTCCAGCACTCCCAAGCTTTTCAATGGTTCTCTGACCAATGTCAGCTCAAGATGAAGTCCTGTAACTAATCAACCAAATCCCTACAAACCAATACTTGAATACCAATGAGATGCTCACTGGCGACTGGCCCTATTCAGGTAGGTAGTTACCTGGTTTCTAGTGAGAAGTCATAACCAGTGGGATACATCTTGTCGGGAGTGAGGACATATACTAGCCACCGATAACATTGGCTAGTGCCAGTCGCGCTATGAACGTTCTCAATTGTCAGCAGTTAGAATTCATGCAGTGGCCATTGGATCGGATCCCAGAGGCTCAATTGTCTATGATCTCACTCGCTCCCGTTGTAACCGGAAGGTGCTGGGTTCCAACCTTGTCAGTGTATGCGTACTTCTGAATAGTCAGACCCAAACTAGGTTGACGAGACAGCTGTCTGGTAGCGCTCTCTGTTGGATTTCCAATGGTTCTTTAACCAATGTCAGCTCATGATGAAATCCTGTAAACCAATGAAATCCCTACAAACCAAGACTTAAACTCAAGAACACTACTTCGCATGGCTGCAAAAAGGTAATGCAGTAACTATCTATAAGGGAGTGCGATCATCGAACACCTTATCAACACCAATCAATCCATCTCAAAAAAAAAGCCTCTTTCAAAGTAATCTATACAGTTAAGAATAACTAGGGAAAGGCAATACGCTTGCTTTCGTCTCCTTTGCACTACTGAAGCCTTAGTCATTTAGTTGGAAAAATCAAAGTTGTGTATACAAAAGAAAATCATTCAACCACTTCTATACTATCATAACGACAATCGTGTTGATTTCTACTCACTTGATGTGTGTGTGTGTGTCTACCTTTCTAACTCTTGTAATTTCTTTACAACTCTTACATAATTCTATAGTTTCCTTCGTTTCTATGTACATCCTAATCAAATCAAGGGGTGTGAACTGTCGAAGAGTCCCAAACTAGGGTTGACAAAACAGCTGTTTGGCAGTAACCCCTGTTGGTTTTCTCCAATGGTCCTCTAACTAATGTAAGTTCCAGATGAAACCCTGAAACTAATTAAATCCCTGCAATATCAATCTGATGCTCACTAGCGACTTCCCTTATTCAGGTAGTTAGGTACCTGGGTTCTAGTGGGAAGTCATAACCAGTGGGAGTACAGCAGATCCGAGAGGTGAAGACAAATACTCGCCATGGATGACATCCGCTAATGGTTGCGCCAAATCATGAATTCGTAGAAGTTGGAATTCATGGAATGACTGGTCATTGGATCCGTTGGATCACAGTGATTTAATGGTCAACGAGCTCATTGGCCTTGTAACCGGAAGGTCTAGGGTTTAAACCCTGTCAGCGGGTGCGTACTTCCGAAGAGTCACAAACTAGGCTGGCAAAACAGCTGTATGGCAGTACTCCCAGGTTTCGCAATAGTCATCTAACCGATGTAAGTTCACGATGAAATCCTGAAACTAATCAAATCCCTGCCAACCAACAACACATAAATACTAATCTTATTATGCAACTACAATACGCTTATTCAACTTATTTTATGCACTGACTAACACCGACAACTATGCTTTTTGACAACTCATCACCACTACCTTCACATATTAATCTTTACCCCCAACCCCAAACTAGTTACAATTTGATTATTCATGACATTTTTTTGAAATATTTTGATGACTTTAGAGATCATCAACAGCATTCAGCATGAAAAATAAGAGCCAGATTTTTAACTCCAATATGAAGGAGACTTTTTGCCTCGCCGCGTCACGAAGGGTACTTCGAACAAACTACACACCTTCACATCAACAGCTGTCTTCACCTCCAAAGCCTCAGGATGGTCGCGGGTGGGTGTCTTGCGCTGCGGGTTGGCCACTCCTCCGTACACCTCTTGAAATGCTCCCATATGACCGGGCGTCTTACATAGCCTCTCCTGAGGAAGTCCTACTCACTGCCTTCACGTGGCGGAGGTGTTTTTCACCAAAGTGAAAGGGCAAAAGCAGATGCCCGGCGCTCTTCACCGGGTTGACTGTCCATTGGATGACAGTCTAGGGGAGATGGCTAAACCCTGATTCCAAACCTCCAGCGACTGGAGTATGAAGCTCACTGGAGCTCACCGACAGACGTATGGACGAAGGGCTTATTCGATGCCCTGGATGACTGGCCCCATTCAAAAAGGCGAATGAACCTGACTCCGGTCACCGGCTGACAATGGATAGTGGACTCCCTACTCCACTCCTATTGCCTTGTAGGTCACACTTGGTTGTGTAAAGGCTAGAGCTGCACTCTCAAACAAAGGCTGAGCGATCCTGGGGACATTACTCGTACCCAATTCCCATGAAACTTCATGGTTCATGAAGCCGGCTCATCTTCCCGTAGGAGATAACCGAAGTAAAGTAAGTAAGTGTCTTCGCTCAATACTACTCAAGATCAGATATCCGGGCAGAAAAGATCACCAACTGGGATCTCTGACAATGAGCGAACCAACTCAGCAGGAATCAACTGTGCAACAGTAAGGTATGCAGGAAAAAATGGAGATGGATTGGCCATAATCTGAGAAAACCATCAAGTAAAATCGCTAGAGTGGAACTCGCCGAATGAGAAGCAGCGAGTTAGTTGGTCGTCATAGAGAGAGTGATATGGAGGAGGAGGAGATCAAGCGAAGAGGAGATGAAAGCATGTGGGCAGACGTGGAGCCAGGTGACGACAACGTTGGCGGTGAACCTAACGCAATGGAGACATGCGTGGCTGAAGCCTTATGTTCCTTCCTCTAGGAACTAAAGGAGACAATAATAATAATAACAACAATCATACACAACAACCCTAACTAATTTTTTCTTCTTGCCTGGCAAAGCCAACGTACACACACACACACACACACATCCAAAAGTAATTACACATAATTGCGATTGTGTACAGCTAAATGAATGAATTCGCCGCCGAAAAGCCATCCTTCGCCTAACTACGTGTTTTATTTTTTCATTAATATTTTTTTTAAAGACACTTAGAAGAGAAGAAAAAAAGGCTATTCATACGATAATTCTCACTCCTAATGGATGCTTTACTTTTAAGATGAAAGCAGCAAACCTAAGGCACTTATTTATTTTGCTATTCTACTTAACTGGGAATTTAGCCTTCTTATACGGCAACCACTTGTCTGTAGGGCTTGACAAATATGCCTTAATAACAATAGATAGTAGTAGTGGTAGTAATGATGAATATTAATTAGCATGTGACACATAATTATATTATAGATTGTTTGAATGAATGAATTGATGAATGCACGAACGACAGCATATTTATATATAACGCTTCACACTTACGAAAATCAATTCTTTCAGATGGTTTACGATTAAGCATTTTCAACAGTAAATCTTGCAGTGGCTTGCTGGTTGTGACAGGAATTCTGTGAAATAGAAAAATATAGGGAAAGATAAAACAAATTAGTAATACAGATATGAAGATTTATTAATATAAAGGGAAGTTATAAGCGGTTACATAGAAACGTGGTAAGACTAGTAGGATAACACTGTGTAATCATTGAAATATATTTATGTAAGAAACGATACACACATTACATAAAAGGTCTTTCAATATATATACATATATGGATGGTAGAAACAACAGGTGAGAAGTATCGACAAACTGACTTTTACGTCCTATTGGATAAGAGGGTTGATCGCTGACGAAAACTCAGCATAGATAAAGAAGGCTCGTTTAGCATATGCCAATATACATCTCTAGCTTAGTAGAGATGATAGCCGGTTGGTTATTGATCAAAGGACGTGTGCACTACTCAGCAGTTCACTACTCCACCCTACTTAATGTTTCTGAGACATGTTCATTGAAAGTGGAACATATGAAATGCCTAGCTAGAACACAGGTGCCTACGTTCTATATCCTCTGTGTGTTAGGTGGTAGTATAAGAAGATGAGGAATATTGACGTTATGCATCAGTAGTCGAGTGCTAGGTAGGTGTAGGTAAGAAGGGGGAATCAATCGATGAGGTGGTTGTGAAGTTACTGGCATTGATTGAGAGAGATGGTTAGGACATGTGTTTGGCATGCAAGACTAGCTATCGATTACCTTCCTCGATGACCGGTAATGTTAGTTGACTGACATAGGATGGATGAGGTTAGAAAAGATTTAGCTAGTGGTGGTCAAGCGAAAACACGGTCTCATCAGTTAATGATATCCACAACAATTATTCGGAACCAGCCAGTCATGTAGGCAGGTCCAAACTGCCTGAATGGTTGATTGGGATCCTCGGGATGGTTGAACCCAATGAAGGCTGTAGACGATTAGGCGATATGGCTCAAAATCGTTCTCAATCAATGACAGAGGAGATGTATTCACTCTTTGTGATTTAACATAACCAATCTCGCTTCTGCCCTCCTACAGATGTTGTGCGTCGGTGGCACAGTGGTTAGGACTCTCGCCGACCGTGCACATGGTCCAAGGTTCGATCCCCTGCCGACGCACACCTGATATCTATGGTCGGCCTGGAAAATTTGGGCTACCGATATCACATGCTGAAAATTCCATACTTGTACCAGAAATACAGTGTGGAATCAAGCTGTAATAAAAAAATAAAATAAATTCTATTGTTTCCCCATATTACGATTCTTTTTCCTTCACTTCTGTTTCTTATTTGTCTTTTGAACCTTCCTTTACTCTCTTCTCCAGCTATGTGTGCTACAAGAAGGGAGTGTGGTAAGTGGAACTGTTGCTCATCTGTGAGAAGTTCTATGTTGAAACCAGCCAGTCAGTCAAGTGTATTGGATAACACAGGCAGTCATAAAGTTCTGATACAGGACAGAGCTCTAACTACCTGCTCCGGTGGTAGGATGATTTTAGAGCTGTCCATCTATAACAATCTGCCTATATAAGTGTTTACGTTATTATAAACCCACTATCAACGTTCTAACTCGTATATTTGTATGATATGTGTATGACATATGGCGCTTTAACGATTCAAGCACAGATATTTCAGAAACGATAGGGAAATGGTCAAGCATGATGAACCCCTAGTTTAATACTGTCTTTTGAAGAATTCAGCTACCTAGAACAAATTCTTCATTGTATCAGGCCGAGTCACACCTATCATGTGAGAGTTGATATACTATTGGCGGCCTGCTTAAAACTTCAGCTACTAAAAAATATCCATCTCTCTATTGAATATATTTTCTGTCGTCCACTTTGTTTTATTCAATTAACATATGACCACAAACATAATTAAAGCTATATCATTTAAAGTGAAGTATTTGACCCATATTAGTCAGTTATATCATTAGAACATACCTAATATCACGCTATATCAGCTGCTACACTAATTGTTTAAGGGTTAATGATACTACCCAATTGTTCAAGGCTGAAATAGGTGAAGTAAGATTTGAACCTCGAAACCATTGGCTGGCTGGAAGTGGCAAGTGTAAAATCGAATGGACTGTATCTCTCCTATCTCATGTCCTGCCTTATTACAAAAGAGCAACGAAATAAAGTAGAATTTATATAATGAATAGAACTTATTGGCCTCTATACAAGAACTGGCGTGGAATAATGATTTTGTCCACGCGAAGTAAAATACTAAGTCGCATCATCGTGGAGAGAATAAAAGATATGGAACTCCGCCAACCGTAACAAGGTAAATTCAGGGAAAGGTGAATCATGTACTAATCAAATTGCGACTCTACGCATCATCATCATCATCACAGAATAAAGCATAAAATATAGTAATCAAAGCTCTGTCTACCTTAACTTCATTAACTTCGAAAAGGCCTTCCGACAGCGGAGAAGTATTTTGAAAACTGGTTCAACACTACATGGCTGTAGTGTCCAAGTCTTTATCCACCTCAATCAACAGCTGGCTCGCTGCTATATGACAGTGCCACGTGTCACATGATCCACAAAGGAATACTCAGTGAAGAAGCCATTGAAATGAATACAGGAGTAAGACAAGGCCGGCTGGCTTCCTATTATCACCAAAAGTTATTCCTAATCGTGATGGACTAGCTTATGCAGCACACTGTAGGTGTGGGGATGGAGAAGACAGGAATGTCTGTCTCCTGTCTGTCTGTTTTCGACATAGAACTTTGCACAAATGTGCGGAAGTTCAAGTCGCCACATTCCGTGTAGCACGCGAAGCAAGCAAGAGAAGAAAGTACAAGAAAAGCATAATAGAAACAGTGAGCAGAGGTGTGAGACAAAGGAGTAATAAAGAAATACAAAACAGTTTCATTGAAGATCATAAGTCACAGGGAGTGGATGCATCTGCGCCACTGAGAACGGTTTTGAGCCATGTCACCAATTGTTTCCAACCATAGATTTTTACCGTCCCGAGGACCCCAGCCTGGAAGTCTACATCTTTCTACATGGCTTAGACCAACTGTTGTGGATTTCATTGACTGATGCCAAGTTTTTGTTTGACCGCCGCTAGCTTTTTTCCAGCCTGACCCTATATCCGCTAACATTGCTCGTCGAGGGAGGCGATGACTTGGCATACGTAACACATGTCCTAACCATCTCAGTCTTTGTAACTTCACGACTTCGTCGATTAATTTCCCCTGTTTACCTAGAACTCTACGCCTAACCTCCATGTTGCTCACCTTATTATGCCACTTCACACGGGAGATAGAACGCAGGCACCTATGATCAAAGACAGCTAGTCTTTTCATGTCTTCCACTCTCAGTGGCCAGGTCTCACAACCATAAAGGAGGACGGAGCGGACTGATGAGCAGTACACCCGCCCTTTGGTCGATAGTCGAACATCTCGTCTACGCCAGAGTCGGCGTAAACTGGCAAATGCGAAACGAGCCCCTTGTATTCGTGCTGAGATTTCGTCAGAGATCAACCCGTTGGCACTGGCTGATGGTACTTCCCAAATAAGTGAAGCGGTCAACGTGCTCCACCAACCACTTCACTTCCTATTTTTAAACTAGGCGTCGATGTAGTCCAGTCCTGTAACATCATCTTGCATTTGGCGGGAGCGAATCGCATGCCAAACATTCGTAGATTGCGGCTCAAGGTGTTTAGAAGACTCTGCATTTCGTCAGCGTCTTCGCCTAGAAGGACTATATCGTCTGCATATTCCAGGAATACACTACACCACCGATAAAACTCCAGAATATTTAGATTTCACGTGTGGATGATTAATGTTTTAATGTTACATAGACTCGAAGACTTGCATGCATGCATGCATGCATGCAGGCAGGCAGGCAAAAATCAATAAACTGGCTGAAGACGTAAGCAGGCGGTGATGATAGGACTCGAGGTGGACATGGAGAAGACGGAGGTGATGAATATAACCGAACAACCAACAGCAACAACAACAACAACAACCAGCCCCCATCTCACTATGAACAGGAGAAACCTGAAAAAAGGTTAATATTACTTCACTCATCTGGCTAGGAAGCATCATTTCAACCACAAACGACCAGACGGATGAAGATGTCAAAGACAATCGGAATCGGAAAGTAAAGATGCGCCTTCATTACCCCTAAAAATCAGTTTGGAAATTTTCTGCTCTCACTCAGCCAGAATAAAGAAAAAAAGATTCGGATTGTGTTCAACACCAATGTCACGTCACTTAGTCAGTCTGTTCTTCTATCCGCGTCAGAAAGGTGGTGGGCGCATCACGAAAAGCATATACCAAACAGATTTCAACGAAATTTTATCAACAGCTATCTTCTCTGACTCCATATATACTGAAGACCAAAAGACCGGCTAGCCAACCAGAGTTTCTGGTTGGCTGGGAACAAACCAACAGGCGAGAGGCAATTGCTCAACAAATATATGTGGGAGAAAACAGATATGGATTGGGCACACACACTGAGCAGGCTGTCAAATGACATCACGCTCAATGCAGACCATCCATCGCTCGAGCGGATTCCCAATAGGAAACCACGAGTGTGGGTTGTCAGTACGAAGGTGACATGGAGAAGATGTCAGATTATGGGCAATCGTGTGCCCAGCCAGCTAAATAGGACAGCAGAAAATAGAAGACGAAGATATTGGCTAGCGGTTGTGCTATATTGTGAATTGGCAGAAGTTAGAATTCATGGGCTGGCCATTGGATCGAGTCCCAGTGGCTTAGTGGTCTACGAGCTAGCTCGTCTTGTGACCAGAAAGTCCTGAGTTCGAATCCCAGTGGGTGCGTACTGCTGATGATTCCCAAACTAGGACAAAACATTTGTTCAGTACTCCCAGTTAGTTTTCCAATGATTCTCTAACTAATGTCAGCTCATGATGAAATCCTGTAACCAATCAACCGAATCCCTACAAACCAATACCTGAACATCAATGAGACGCTCACTGGCAACTGGCCTTATTCAGGTAGGTAGTTACGTAGGGCTCTAGTGGGAAGTCGTGACCAGTAGGGTGTCACAAGTCGGGTGTGAGGACAAATACCCGCCGAAGAGATTGGCTAGCGGTTGCGGTTTATGGTGAATTGGCAGAAGTTAGAATTCATGGGCTGGCCATTGGATAGGGTCCAAGTGGCGTAAAAGTCTACGAGCTAGTTCGCCTTACAATCATAAGGTCCTGAGTTCAAACCCGGTGGGTGGGTTCTGATGAAGAGTCTCAAATGTGAAATTCACCCACAATGGATTATTTATCCAGTTATTGTAATAGAGAAACAAATATCAAACGCACACACAGACACATGAAAACAAACAAACTGTTGTTATCACAAAGTGGATTGATTTATTGCTATGTAAGGAACGGTGAAGTAAGTAAGTGCATTATACCAATCACGTGTACTGTACACTCTCAGTTGCAATAATAATAATAACAGTAACTATCATTCATATTACTATTATAGGCCCCCCCACCCCATAAACACGTCACATCTAATTTATAATTTAACTACAAATCTACAATTAGATTCTTATAACCACCACCAGCACCTTGTATCACATGAAAAGTGTGATTATGAAAAGAGATTGAGTATTCTTTAACTCAAACTCAAAAAAATAATAAAAACAACAATAATTAAAATGAAAAAACTACCCGCCCACTCCTCTTTTTCTTCCTTTCCCCTCCCTCTCTCTCTTCGTGTATGTGAGTGGGTGAGTGAGTGAGTCTGACACATATTAGGTAATCTGTAAAGTCAGACAACATGAATGAATGCCTGCTGATTGTGACTCCTACCGAAATGATTTAGCAAGTGAATATATACAGCGCTTGGGTGTAGCTCCTCCACTCTCTCCCTCACACACACACACACACACACGCACACATACACACTCCACCAACGGTGTTAACACAAAATGTCAAATTAACTGATACATCAACACACATATGTACACACCATTTCAAATTACCAAACTTTGAGAAAAAAAAGAGAACAAATCGACAGATAGTATTAGATGGTTGAAGGCGATCGGCCACAGGAAGAAGTCTTGGCGGGAAGTACCTAGGTTTCGTGCTAGTTGGCGCTCACCACCACCACCACCAGTCAGTCAGTCAGTCAATCAGCAAGGCAGCGTATCTGCAACTACTTGAAGGAAGGAATTCATGTCCATTCTGAGATTCGAACCAGCATCGCCTAGTGGCGCCTGCAGTCAGAGAAGTTAGCACTTGGCTATTCGGGTTCCCGACCTCAACCACTTCTTTTAGAAATATGTTGGGCACTTTGATTTTAGCAGTGGGTGGTGACGCGGGTACGAATCTCAGAAGGGAAATGAGTTCCTCCCTTCAAGGTTGTAGATACGCTGCCTTGCGTAGGTGAGCAAACTGCTTCGATATCCCTTTTACATTCGAAGTTTAGTATCAGCATATTTTTGGGGGCGACGTTGACCTTTTCAAGAGTTTCCTTTGGGTTTTAGATTTTTGTCTATGAATATGAGTGAAGAGAACCCAATTTTCTATCAAGGTCCCTCAGAAATTGTATAATTCTTCGTCAATTGACTCCTCGGTGCAAATTTTCCTGATCCTCGAAGAAAGAGATTAATATTAGGTTTTTCTTTTTGATTAGACACACACAACTTTAAAAGTTGATAAACTGTCCTTTCCACGTGGGCTTCTTGTAGATGGATCTTCTCAGCGACTTGACACCATTTCTTCACACTTGAACACCGAAGAAATGAAACATTGATTAATTTAACCTTCATTATTATTATTTCCTTTAATTCTTAGAGGAACATAGGGCTTCAGCCGCGCGTCTCCATTGCGTTCGGTTATCTGCTAGAGTTTTCACCTGGATCCATATCTGCCCACATGCTTTCATCTCCTCTTCACATGACCTACTCCAAGTTAACCTTGAACGACCACTCTCCACTCGACGGCTTGTCTAGTGATGTCACTTGGTGCTTTGTTTCCTCAGAGTACGGCCAGCCAATCCATCTCCATTTCTTCCTGTCTATTTGTTTCACAATCGGTTCCCACTTGGTTGGTTCGCTCATTGCCAGAGATCCCTGTAGATGATCTTTTCTGGCTGGCCATCTGATCTTGAGTATTGAGCGAAGACAGCGGTTGATTGATGAAGGTCTGTAGTTTGTTTGAGATGCTCTTTATGACGCGCGCCAAATCTCTGATCCGCAAAGTAAGTATCACTGACTTCACATTGGAGTTGAAAATCCGGATCTTATTTTCATTTTGATGATGAATAGTGCTGTTGACCTCCATACAGACTTGAGAGTAATGAAAGCTTGTCTTGCTTTCCCAATCCTTGCTTTGATATCTTCATCAGTCCCGTCCGTCTGTATTTGAAACGATGCTTCCCAGGTGGGGAGGTAAAGGAGGTTGTTTCTTTCAGGTTTCTCCCATTTATGCTGGCTGATTGTTGTCTGTTGTTGTTGTTGCTGCTGTTACTGTTGGTGTTGGCCAGGAATCTTCATCACTTCTGTTTTCTCTATGTTCACCTGAAGTGATGCCCTATCTTTGATGCTTCTTCTGCCAACTTGTTGCTTTTCACTTGCATATCTTCCTGTTTGTGGGAAACCAGACATATATCATCGGTGAAGTCCAGATTCTCCAGGCTTTTTGTGTGAGTCCATTTTATGCCTGTGTCCTGTCTGTCGCAATCTACTGCAATGAGGAAAATCATTGGCGATAGTAGGCAGCCTTGCCTTACTCCCGTCTTCGCTTCGAAGGCTTCCGTAAGTTTCCCGTTGTGGATTACTTGCCATGCAGCATTGTCCTACAACTGTTGGATGAGATGTATAATTGGAGGCGGCACCCAGTAGTAGCGAAGTAGTCGCCAAATGACCTCTCGATCGACGCTGCACTATCGAAGGCCTCTTCAAAGCCGATGAAGTTGAGTGAGGTAGAGAGGTGACTGCCATTCCAAGCTTTGTTCAGTGATGATCTGTAGAGTGGCGATTTGATCAGTACATGACTTGTTTCTCCTGAATCCAGCTTGTTCCGGTCGAAGTTTTTCATCCAGATTGGCTTGTTTGATGCGACTTAGTATTTTGCTTGGGATGGACAGGAGCATAATTCCGCGCCAGTTCTTGCATTGACTTAAGTCTCCTTTCTTCGGCAGTTTGAATAAGTATCCTTTCTTCCAATCTTCAGGTACTTTGCCCTCTTTCCACACCTTCTCCAGTAATGGCGTCATTAAGTCCGTTGTTGTCTCTGGATCCATTTTCAATGCTTCTGCTGGGATTCCATCTGGTCCTGCTGCTTTTCCAGTTTTTAGCATCTCGATTGCCTTCAGGACTTCTGTTTTTGTTGGAGGGTTGATGTTCACTGGTAGTTCTGATTCCGCTGTTGGTATTGTTGGGCGCGTTGTAGGTGGTGGTCGATTCAGAAGTCTTTTGAAGTGTTCAAGCCCAGTGTTTTCTTTGTTCCACTTCTTTGGTGATTGACCTTCCATTGTCATCCTTCAATGGATTGATTTGTGTTAAACTTTTCCGGGACAGGAGCCTGGTTGTTTGGTAGAATGTGGCGAGGTCTCCTTTGCCTGCACTGCGCAGCTTGTTCTGCTTCAATTGACATGGTTTCGTAATATTTTCTTTTGTCTTCCCTGGCACTCTTCTTTACTCTTCTGTTCAGTATATTGTAGCTTGCATTCAACTCCTGTTTTTGTTGCTCATCGATGTACTGGATAATTTAACCTTTGACCGGAAATAATTCTGGAACTTTCTCATTTATTCACTACTATAAATGCACGAATGTACAGCTGTCTAGTTGATGACTTTGTTGAAAAGAAAATTCTCTTCTTCTTCTTCTCCTTTGCTATAACCATCTTCTTAATAACAACTGACTTTTATCATTGTAGAGAACGATAACATACTGAATATTAAAAAAAAATCCATATGATTCAAATAGACTTACATATGCGATCTTGAGATAAGAGCAGTGACAAAAAAAAAATAATAAAATAGAATACAAATTACAACACGCACGCACGCACACACAGACACTACTCACTTTGGTCTAAGACAAGCTGTCTTCTCGTAAATATTTTTCAGCGCCTCAGGTGTATTCGCGTAAAATGGCGCTTTACCAGTTAAACACTGGTAGACAATAATACCCATACTCCAGATATCTGCAACTGCATCATATTTACGACACATTAGGACTTCAGGAGCCTATTTACATCAAAAAGAGAGAAGTAGAAAGTTTTTAAAATGCAAATGCTTACAGTAGTTTTATATAAAATAAGTAGGCATAAGATAAATTAATGTTTGAGTGAAACAATTTGATGATTAATTAATGACACAATTGACAGTTGGGTTAGATGGATGCAAGTAAACTATCCCCGAAAGACATAAGAATAAAACTTGTCCACTGTAGTTGGGTGTAATTTATTTTGATAAAGTCAGTCACACTGTCTGTCTGTCTGTCTGTCTGGATTCAACATAGAACTTGGCACCGAAGTGCAGCAGTTCGAGTTGCCACGTTCCAAATAGCACACAGAGGTAGACAAGAAGATGAGTGAAGAGAATTAATAGAGTTTGACAAGTATAAGAGTGAAACAGAATGGGTAATGGTAGAAAGGAATATGAAAGATTACAGAGACTGAATACATCTGCGCTGGCCATTGACAACGATTTTGAGCCATGTCACCTATTGTCTCCAGCCATTGATTCCTAGAGTCCCGAGGGCCCCAACCCGGGAGTCTGCATCTCCCTACCTGACTCAGTTTAACTGTCAAGGATTTCATGGATTGATGCCATGTTTTTGTTTGGCCACCACTGGCTCTTTTCCAACCTGAACCTATATCAGCTAGTAATGCCCGTCGGGGGAGGCGGTGGTTAGGCATGCGCACCACGTGACCTAGCCATCTTAGTCTATGTAACTTTATAGCCTCGTCGATTGATTTTCCCTCTTTGCCCAACACTCTACGCCTAACGTCAACATTACTTATCTTGTGAAACCACCTAACGTGAGACAGAGATCGCAGACATCTATGATCGAAAGCAGTCAACCTTTTCATGTCTTCAACGCGTATTGGCCATGTTTCAGAGCCATAGAGAAGGACGGAGCGAACTGATGAGCAGTACACACGTCCCTTGGTTGATAACCGGATGTCACGCCTACGCCAGAGATGGTGTAAGTCAGCGAAAGCAGCTCGAGCTTTTCGGATCCGTGCTGAGATTTCATCGCCAATCAGTCCGTTGGTGCTAATACAACTTCCCAAGTAGGTGAAGTGGTCAACATGTTCTATCACTTCACTCCCTATCACTAAGTTAGGAGTTGACGTGGTCCAGTCCTGTAGCAGCATCTTACATTTTGCAGGGGCGAATCGCATGCCAAACATACGAAGATTGCTGCTCAAGGTGTTCAGAAGACTCTGCATTTTGTCAGCATCCTCCCCTAACAGGACTATGTCATCTGCATATTCTAAGTCCATAAGACTATTCCCTGGTAACAAGTCGTCACGTTCAGTTAAGGATACTTCCATCAGCATATCTATGATGAAGTTAAACAGAAATGGGGAAAGTGGACATCCCTGTCGGACACCACTGGTTGTTACCAATTCAGATGACAATTCCCCATAAGCCCTTACACGACTACGTGAGTTTGAATAGAGTGCCTTGATTAGTGCAATGTACTTTCTTGGCACTCCCTTCACAGTCAGACATTGCCATAGTACCTTTCGATCCACGGAGTCGAAGGCCGCCTTCAAGTCAAGAAATATGACAATTGTTGGACGCCGAAAAGTGTGTCTATGTTCTAGAATCTGTCGAAGAGTGAAGATATGATCTATGCACCCTCTACCTGGTCTAAAGCCTGCTTGATTTTCCCTTGTCTGTTCCTCCCGAGTTCTGCTTAGTCTATGCATGATTACTGAGCCTAGGATTTTAGAGACTATGTTCGTTAGGCTGATCCCCCTATGATTATCACACGAGGACTTGTTTCCCTTCTTGAATATCGGTATAATAAGTGACTTACCCCAGTCTGATGGCACTGTCTCTGATTCCCAGACTTTGCCTAGTACCTCAGTTAATCTACAAACTAGTATGTCACCCCCATATTTAAACACCTCCGGAATAATTCCGTCGGGTCCTGCCGCTTTGCCTCGTTTCAAATTACTGATAGCTTTTGTGACCTCACTTACAGACGGCGGACCAGTGTCTATATCCCATTCGGGTGTGTTGGATGGCGGGGAGGTTCAGTGTGGCTGTAGGCAAGTTAAATTGTCCCTCAAAGTGTTCTTTCCAGCGTTCAAGGCGTCTATCCTGAGAGCTAATTAAGGAGCCATTTTTCTCAGAAATAGTCTCACTTATGATTTGCCTTCTCCCACCCGTTTCCCTGATGAGTCTAAAGAGTTGCCTAGTGTTGCCTATCGCCGATGCTTTTTCCATCTCTTTCGCCTTTGTCACCCACCACTGTTCACGGTCCTTGCGGAGACTTTTAGTAAGTTTCCTTTTGTGCAGCTTTCGCTCCTCATTGAATTCGGAGCTCGCCGGAATAAGTCTTCTAGCATCTATCAGTTCGGATGAGGCAGTCGAAATCCAGTGGTTTTTACTCACCTTTGGATTTGCCTTATTCACAGCTTTTACAGCTGTATCTATAGCTGACTGAATATTCTTCCAGGCTTCTCCAGGGTGAGCACAGCTGTCGAATTCAGATATGCGTTTAGCTAGTTCTTCCTCAAATAGGGATTTAGTTTCCTGATCGAGCTGGGGACGTGATGGTTTTACCGCCAGCTGTTTCCTACGTCCGTTCAGTCGTAAGCACACACGAGCCCGGACCAGTGCGTGATCGGTATCTACACACGTGTTCCAGAAGGAGCGACAATCTCCTACCGACCCACGCCAACGATAGCTTATTGCTATGTGGTCTATTTGTGTCCAGCGTTGGTTTGATGATGGGGGTCGCCAGGTTAAACAGTGTCTCTCCTTGTGTTTAAAGTTAGTGCTTACAAGAAACAAATGATTATCTGAACAGAACTGTAGGAGACGGTCACCGTTGTCGGTTCGCTGGCACGGAACTCCATAGGTGCCACCGACATCCTTCTCAGATTGACACAATTTCCCTACTTGAGCGTTAAAGTCACCAGCTAGAACGACTATATCTGAGCGTTTAGCCTTTCTCACCAAACTAGACAGCTTTTGGTAGAACTCATCCTTCGTTTCATCCGAACTGCAGTCAGTGGGGGCGTAGGCGGAGATTACGAAAAGGCATCGGCGAGTAGTGCAGTCCTTTCTCCTTCTTACTGATCCGTTCAGACGGACAGCACACATTCGGCTATCTACTGGGATCCAGTCAAGCAATGTCTTTTCTGCCCTAGTACTCAAAGCTATCCCTACGCCAGCTAATCCTCGTGAACTAGCTGTGGCATCTCCTGACACCCTCAAGGTGAATTTTGAAGATTCATCCTGTTGGCCAGGTGGGGTTAGGTGAATAACCACACTTGGGTCTTGTATGCGTGTTTCTGAAACACAACATACATCAATGGCTCGGATGCCAGGGTCTTAGCTAGTGATGCTTGTTGTCCTATTTGGCAAAGTGTCCTAACATTAAATGCTCCTATATGAAATTGGTGGCGTGGCTTTAGGAGACTATCGGTGGTGGTTTTTTGGCTTTCGTCGTTTTTAGTGGACACAGAGTGAAGAGGGAGTGAGGAGCCATCAAGTAGAGGAGTTGCATCACTGGGAGGAAGGCAAGGTAATAGAGATGAAGATGAAGACAAAGATAAGTGAGGATTAGAGAGGTTTTGTGTGCATTTCGGATTGTGAGGGCGATTGTTACTTCCCGGCTGCCCACACCGTGGAAGTTGGTTGCGTGACCGCAGAGCCCAGGGGACAACTGCTTGAGGCCGGTCACACGCGGCCTGTTTTTGTTTGTTCTTTGTTTGGTGTTATGATGATGATCACGTTTCGAGCACAATTGATTACTGCTCATAATCGCATATCAAGGTACTCATACAACATGCTAACTACGTTTATATAATTCTATTATTTTTCATCGCTTGACTTGATGATTGGTAGTAGTATTCTCCATACTAGCTTTGGTAAAAAACCAACGTATTTAGCCAATAGATATGTAGACTTTAATTCATCTCACCTATATATCTGTCTGTGAGGCAGGCTTAGTTAAGTGTCTAACGAACCGAGCAGTAGCACTAAGTACTACAAAAAAAGACATAAATGATGAAATAACAGATCGAATGACAGTCGTTGGTATCAAATAACTACCTATCCTATAAAATTCATTAGGACTATCGAAAAGGCCAAAAGCAAAGTAAAAATAATTGTGAAACTAGTTATTATAACATAGATAAAAGAGAATATAAGTCATCTACAGAAAGTAATATAGGTAGGTGGAGATAGAGACAGGTTGATTACTGAATCGGTGATCATTAAAATCTACACCCAACACGTGTAATAAGATGCAATGGCTCATCACTCACGCCAGATATATCTGGAAAATATTACTACCAGTCAAATCATCCCATGACAAATAGTGGAATCATAGACAGTGTAGACAGCATCATAAATCCTACTGCGGTGATTAGTTTTGTAGCAGTAAACTGAATTATGCATCGATGACACAGCGGTAGGACGCCCGCCGACCACGCCTCGTGTGGTGGTCCGGGGTTCGATCCCCGGCCACCACCGGCACAATCCTTTACCTCACTAAGCAGGTAGTAGGCCCGGCAAAAAGGGAAGGTAGGGCATGAGACAAGCACAACTCCATCCCGTAAAGATAAACACCACTGCTAACGAAACTTCAAGCCTCTAGCTTGAGGCCCTATAATTCCACTGGGGAACGTAATATTTACTGATGATGACTACGTTTCGAAAACAATTTATTACTGCTCAAAATCACATCAAGTTACTCATACAACTTTTCAACTTCACTCCTACTATTTGTCATCTCTTGATTTGACTGGTAATAGTATTTTCCATGTCTCTGGTATGAGTGAGGAGTCATTGCAGTCTGTTGCACATGTTGTGTGTATATTCTATGAAGAGTGACTAAGTAACCAACCTCGCTCTCCACCTACCTACCTACCTACATTAATTTTTAGAAATTTAACCCTCTCCCAATCTATTGTGTAATTGTGTGTTAATGCAAGCGGTGCAATTTCTGAGCTTTTTTTCTAAATTACTCGTCTGTCTTCACGGGGTCAGCCATGGTTAGTTTTGTTATAACTGGTCTTTACACTAACATTCCAATCAGTATGATCTTAGAAGCAGTTAAAAGAGAACTGACTGCTGATCCTGAACTTACTCACAGGATGTAGCTGTCCATTGAAGAAATTATTTTAGGAATTCAGTTATGCTTCACATCTATTGTCTTTAAATTCCAGGGCAAAATATATAGACAAACAGAAGGTGTAGCAATGGGATGGATCACCAATGTCCCATATGGTAGTAAATATCTTTATGGATGGATAGCTGGGAAAATATTGCTCTTAACACAACATTTAATCCTACTTCAAAAATATGGTGAAGATATGTGGATGACACTTTCACTCACAGTGTTAGAACAACAGAACATCCATCCAGTCTCTTGACACACATAAACTCACTAGTGAAGAGAATAAAATCCACATTTGAATCGAAAAATAAACAAGGAGAATCAGCTATGACGTTAGATTGTAAAATAAAACGAACAAAGAAGGTAAGATGCACACTAGAGATTTTAGAAGGTCAACGCATTCTAATAGACATTTGGAGTTGAATTCAACCCATCCGTTATGTGCCTGTGAAGGCAGGCTTAGTTAAGTGTCTAACAAACCGAGCAATAGCACTAAGTAGTACAACAAGAAACCTAAATGATGAAATATAACAGATCGAAGAAGAAGTCTTATTGTTAACTATCCTATACAATTCATTAAGAAGATCAGAAAAGGTCAGAGGGAGAATAAAAATAACGGTGAAACTAATAATGATAACATAGATAAGAGAGAATACAAGACATTACAGTAGTTTTACCATATAAGGAGGGAGAGGACATCTGAGAACCTCCCTATGTAAGATTCTTAATAACGCAGGAATTGTGGTTGTAACATTTAAACCTATAAACTCATTCAGGCAGGCAGGCAGGCAGGACAAGCTATGTAGGTTAAAGCATCCCCTGTCCGTTGACCCAATTAGACAGAATTATATAATTTACAAAATACCTTGTAATGACAGTGAGTTAAGTCAACTACATAGGTCAAACTAGTAGACCGGAAGTAGTAAGATTGGCGGAACATAAGAATTTAACTAAGGTTAGAATGATTGACCCTGTGAAGATAAGTAATTTAGAGAAAAAAAAAACACTCAACAATTGCACTGCATGCATTAACACACAACCACACAATAGCATGGTGGGAGGAATTCAACACTCTAAAAAGTAATATAGGTAAGTGGGGATAGAGAAAGGTTGATTACTAAATCCTTGTCAATCTAGTCTACATCCAACACGTGTAATGGGATGCAATGACTAATCACTCATACCGAAAATATGGAAAATACTAGTACCAATGAAATCAAGAGATGACAAATAGTGGAATCATATAAGTGAAGTTGGAAAGTTGTATGAGTAACTTGATATGATAATGAGTGGCAATAAATTTTGCTCTACAGGTACAGTAACTATTATTGTATAACAGCCACTGTGAGACTTTATCAAAATAAATCTTACTCATAATAGAATTATCTCCAAAAGACTATATTTTCAAGAGTTGATTTGTCTTTCGAGTTTGACCACGGATTGATATCAATTCGAGAACCATTAAAACCAGTCACAGGGAGTACTGGATAGCCAGCCAGCTAGCTGTTTCGTCAGCCCCGAATACAAGGGGCTCGTTTCGCATTTGTTAGTTTACGCCGACTCTGGCGTAGACGAGATGTTCGACTATCGACCAAAGGGCGGGTGTACTGCTCATCAGTCCGCTCCGTCCTCCTTTATGGTTGTGAGCGAGACCTGGCCACTGAGAGTGGAAGACATGAAAAGACTAGCTGTCTTTGATCATAGGTGCCTGCGTTCTATTTCCCGTGTAAAGTGGCATACTAAGGTGAGCAACATTGAGGTTAGGCGTAGAGTTCTAGGTAAACAGGGGAAATCAATCGACGAAGTCGTGAAGCTACAAAGACTGAGATGGTTAGGACATGTGTTACGTATGCCAAGTCATCGCCTCCCTCGACGAGCTATGTTAGCGGATATAGGGTCAGGCTGGAAAAGTGAGAGCTAGCGGCGGTCAAACAAAAACTTGGCATCAGTCAATGAAATCCACAACAGTTGGTCTAAGTCACGTAGAAAGGTGTAGACTTCCAGGCTGGGGTCCTCGGGACAGGAAAAGCCAATGATGGTTGGAAACAATTGGTGACATGGCTCAAAACCGTTCTCAGTGGCGCAGATGCATCCACTCCCTGTGACTTATGATCTTCAATGAAACTGTTTTGTATTTCTTTATTACTCCTTTGTCTTACACCTCTGCTCACTGTTTCTATTATGCTTTTCTTGTACTTTCTTCTCTTGCTTCGCGTGCTACACGGAATGTGGCGACTTGAACTTCCGCACATTTGTGCAAAGTTCTATGTCGAAAACAGACAGACAGACAGTTTGGGAAACATCGGCAGTACACAACCACCGCCAGGATTCGAACACAGTGTCTTCCAGTTACAAGGCTACCGAGCTTATAGACCAAGTGATTCACTGGAATCCGAATCAATGGCCCATGAATTCTAACTTCCACCACAACTGGTGATTGTTAGTGCGACTGGCACCAACCAATGCCGTCGGCAAGCATTCTTCAACGGGTTTGCCTTGTAACCGGAGGTTAGTGGGTTCGAACCCCTGTGGTGTGTGCTACAATATCTTACTTTTGTATTCAAGTAACCCAAAATCTAAACACCTATTATTAATAACTTTTTTTTACGAAAACTAGTGAATAAATAAGAGTATGAGCCTGAAAATGAACTATTTACTGTTCAGTAGCAACGATGAAAATTTCTACCTGTGGAAGTATCAAACCCTGAAGAGATTTAAAACATTGACTAAGTAGTTTTCGTCTCTTTATAACTATTATTGTAATGATAAAAGACAAGAGCCAGGCAACAGATCGTTTAATGAGGAAATCAAGAGGCATTTATAGATTTCTATGTACATTAGTATTAGTGTTATTGCTAGCAGAGAAGCATTCTCGTCTGTTAGCTGCTTTTTTTTGCTGAAGGTTATTCCATACTCCTTGTGACCGTTTCTTAGAAAGTTAAGCTATAAATCTACGAATCGTATTTACACACGTGATGTCTGCTGTGATTGGTTGGTCTTTAACTTCACCTTTAGGGTGTTTAAATAACGCATATGCATCGCTCATAAGAGCAAGCATGTCCCAGGTTGTATAATTAGTCGCCATACAATATAGGTGTAGTTAATTGCCATCTGCATGGAATTACAAGTGGTTCTAATGCCTCATGTATGAGGATGAAGGGAGAGGTTGATAGCTGAATCCTCCATCTAACGAATCAAGTAAGGTTACACGTGCAATTAAGAATGATTTGACACTTGCCCAAGATATCTAGAAAACTTTATCACCTTTACGACAAATAAGCAAGAGAAATAACCATAAAAATCGAGTACGGTAATTGTGTGTAATTTACAACTAACTGGTATGATTGATTATGAACGACAAACTACTGTTCGAAAAGTCACTCAGTCAACTGTTGTTTCACAATGTGTGTGTGTGTGTGCGTGTTACATATTCAGTAAAGAAATTAATATGGATGACTCATCTCTCCCTTTCAACAATCAAAATCAGGTTGACCACTCTGTGAGAGAGCCTATATTCCACACGTATTTTATTCTTCCTCGGTTTGAGCCCCTTTTTGTGATGACCTCGTAAATGTATCTCGAAGGGAGAGAAAATACTGGAAGGGCCAATCCCTAAGTTGCCCTTCAATATAATGTATGGCAAAATTAAGTCACCCCTCCTTCTTCGTTATGATAATGAAAAGAGATTTGAACGCTACATCCTATTGTCATAAGGAAGGTGAGGAGAGTTACCACTAACTAATTTGCTTCATATCATACCTTCAGTACTGTTTCCCAGATATCTGCCTTCTTTCTGAGCATGGACTCACTGCTTGTATGCAGTATCCCAGATGAGGCCTGATATATGTTACACAGAGTACTTGGAACACACACTCGTCTAATAGTTTGAAAACCCTTCGAAGTACCTGTAGCATTCGAAAAGCCTTAGCTAGAGGCTCCAACACCATTTGGCATTGTTTTTAAGTCGTTGCTTACAATAAATATGTATAAATTCTTTTCACTCTGCAACAATATCCAAACTCACCATGTACATTGGTGATCCACACATTGTCACTGCCATCATTCCATCTTGTAAGAACCTTGCAAATCCGAAGTCAGCTGAAATTTATTTATTTTTTAACAAAAAAAAGAAAGGGAAAGCTGTGACTGAGATGTGATAAATACTCATTTGTTGATGATACATAGATGTATAAAGAAGACTAGCAACACGCATATTACGTATAAAACCTGAAATAAACAATTAGAAGAAAATATCAGGATAAACTTATGCTTATCAATTCGCCAACTCAATGATTTTAGAGAAAATCAAAAAAAAAAATTCCAGTGAGTGTATACTGCCGAAGAGTCCCAAACTAGTCTGACGAAACAGCTGTCCAGTACTCCCAGCTAGTTTTCCAATGGTTCTCTAACCAATGTCAGTTCATGATGAAATCCTGAAACCAATCAACTAAATCACTACAAACCAATACTTGAATACCAATGAGATGCTCACTGGCGACTGGCCCTAATTCAGGTAGGCAGTTACCTGGGGTTCCAGTGGGAAGTCGTGACCATTAGGGTACAGCAGGTCAAAGATGGGGCAGTGACTCATCGAAAAAGACATTGCGAAACGGTCGCGCTACGTCGTGCGTGAATTGGCAGAAGTTAGAATTCAAAGACCATTGGATCGGGTCCCAGTGGCTTAATGTTCTACAAGCTAGGTCGCCTTGTAACCAGAAGGTCCCGGGTTCGAACCCCGGTGGGTGCGTACTGCTGAAGAGTCCCAAAATAAGGTTGACGAAACAGCTGTTCAGTACTACCAGGTTTCACAATGGTTCTCCAACTAATGTCAGCTCATGATGAAATCCTGTAACCAAAAGAATTACAGTAGAAGACAATGAAATAATGGTGTCCTTTGATGTCACAGCATTATACCCAATTCAACTAGTCCAAAGCTAGCAACAGAAACTATGCAACAATTACTCTATAATGATGAAGACATAAAAACGCAATGTTCAACTTGGATAGAACTCATAAAATTATGCCTTACAACATCCTTCCTATTCAATACTCAAATATATGAACAAATAAAAGGAACACCAACGGCATCATCGCCCATATCAGGATTAATAGCTGAAGCCGTTATGCAAAGATTAGAATTAATAGCCACCCTACCCATAATTAAACCGAAAATCCGGATGGGTACGTCACGTTGATGATACATTTGTAATAATTAGGAGAAATGATTTAGAATATACCCATAAATTAATAAACAACATATTTGAAGACATCAAATTCACCAGGAGAGAAGAAGAATTAAATAACAAAATCCCATTTTTAGATGTCTTAATCAGGAGAACCAACACAGGGAATTTAGAAACACAAGTATATAGAAAATCAACGCACACACACAGATCAAATACTCAACTAAACTTGCAATAATCCAATTACTGACAAAAGAAACTGTGTGCAGACATTGTTTAAAAGAGAGTTCAAGCACACTGTAGCACTCCAGAGTTGAAAAGAATGGAAGAAAAATACCTAAAAACGGTCTTCATAAAGAATGGTTATCCACAAAATTGCATTAAAAAGTGTTTAAAACCGAATCACAACACTAACAAGGAACCATCATCAAAGACCACAATGAAATTCATCTTACCATACATGAAAAATATCTCTGAAATAACAGCAAGAATACTGAAACCGTTTGATATAGATATAGCACACAAGCCAGGCAGTAAATCGCTTAGTTCGATATTATGCAAACCGAAAGACCCGACAGAAGAAGGAGATAAAATTAATACCATTTACAAAATAAATTGTATGAACTATAACAGACATTACATCGACCAAAGTGGGCGTCCCCTTCGGATAAGAATCCAATAACACAAATCAGCTGTGAAATGACACGATATCCATATTCTTTCATATTAATGCATATAGACAATTATGGACATCAGTTTGATTGGAATAATGTCGAAATCTTGAACAGAGGAAACACCGAAAGTGCCACCAGGGAATTCCTAGAGGCCAAGCCTGGTACTCAAACGAATATGCAATTAACAAACACGTTAACATATAGACCAAATATACCAACTAATAAAAAGTAAATCATGTGACCAGAAAGTCCAAGTCAATAGAAAACTATCACCATTTCACACTCTTTATTTAACGAGGTTGTGAAGTTACTGCATCGATTCAGAGAGAGATGGTTAGAACATGTGTTACGCATACCAACAAGTCATCGATCGCCTTCCTCGACCGATAGACAATGTTAGCTGACTGACATAGAATGATGGATGAGGTTGGAAAAGAGTGAGGTAGCGGTGGTCAAACTAAAGCATGGTTTCATCGATTAATGCGATCCACAACAGTTACTTTAGGCCAGTCAGTCACGTAGGGAGGTGTAGACTGTCTGGCTGGATGGTTGGGGTCCAACAAAATAGCTGCAATTTTCGGTTTTTCCTTCTAACACCTGGAAGCTTTTGTTCATTTTGCATACACATTTTGTGCTTTGCGAATGTGAACTCCATTCCTTTATTTCAGGGTATTCAGATAATATATATCTAAATGCAGAGTGACTGCCTTGTTTCAACATAGAACAACTTTGCACAGATCTGCACATGTCCCACTTACCACACTTCCCCCTTGTAGCACACAAAGCAAGAGAAGTAAAGAGAGATTCAAAAGACACATAAAAAACAGAAGTGTGACTGGACGAAAAAGAGTAGTAATATAGCAAAACAATAGAGTTTTATTGGATATGATGAATCACAAAGAGTGAATGCGTCTCCTTTGTCATTGATTGACAACGATTCTGAGCCATATCACTAATTGTCTCCAGCCGCCATTTGTTTTGTTTTTACTGCTATGAGGACTTCAAATATCCAGCCAGACAGTCTACACTTCTCCACGTGACTGGTTCAAACTAAATAACTAACTGTTGTAGAATTGATTGACTGACGAGGCCATGTTTTCGTTTGACCACCACTAACTAGCTAACTTTTTTTCAACCTCATCCATCATTCTATGTCAGTCAGCTAACATTGCCCATCGGTCGAGAAACGCGATCGATGACTCATTGGTATGCGTAATACATGCCCTAACCATCTCTCTCTGAATCGACGCAGTAACTTCACAACCACTTCGTCCATTGATTTCCCATCCCAACTACCTACCAATCGACCACCGATGCCTAACCTCAACATTGCTCACTCTATTATGCTACTACTACCTAACACTCATGGGAGACAGAACACAGACACCTATCATCAAAGACAGCTAGGCAAGATTTCATTTCAATGGTCATGTCTCAATGGCAGCCATAAAGGAGGACAGAGCGAACTGCTGAGCAGTACACAGCCGGATATTACGTCTACTAAGCGAGAGGTGGCGTACGCCAAACAAGCCTTCTGTATCCATGCTGAGATTATGTTGGCGATCAACTCACTGGTGTTGGCTGATACAACTTTCCGAATAAGTGAAGTGGTCAACACGCTTCACCACCTCCCTATCTTTAAGCTAAGGGCCAGTGTAGTCCGGTCCAGCCCTGTAACATCATCTTACATTTGACAGCAGGAGTGAATCACATGCCGAACTTTCGAAGATTGCTCACTGCTCAAGGTGTTCAGAAGACTCTCCTTTATTCGGTTAGTATCTTCACCCAGGAGAGAAGACTATATCATCCGCATATTCTAGTCAACGAGATTATTCCCAGGTAGCAAATCAATCTGTGAGTCGCTAAAGTGATTATGGTTAAGTTCATTAGTACATCTATGATGAAATTAATTATTATTCACAGCATAGTCCGTGAACCTACATATGGTTGTTTAATTGCGTTTTTTTACGCAATCCAGAGATCTGTCTGTTTAAGTACTGGTAAAAATGCAGCAGATGAAGTTCCCAATCATTTACCAACAATCAAAAGTAAAGGTCTGTGAAATTCAGTGACTCGATTCTGATTGCCACTGGCTTTTTAGGACTGATGAGATCCACTACGAATATCTCATAAAGTGTAATGTAACCATATATAGATAAATAAAACTACTAAGGATTTAAATTTTGTGAAGACCAACGAGTTTGTTCACACAGATGGATGTTTGCCCATAGCGAAGATAATAATGTATAATACGTTAAGCTATCTTGAAACCTTGGCTTTCGTGGTACTGACGCTCATTACGCATTTTGTCGTAGTAACTTCTATGCTTGTTCCACTACCAGTTACAAGCAAAGAAGACAGTATTACTGAGTAAGCAACTGCCAATTTGTCACAAGATCTTCATGGGATTAGATGAATTATAAGCTATAGGGTGATTTTATTACAAGTCTGTGACGGTAGTTGAGAAAATATACAATGCCAACTGTGTAAGTTTACTCAAAATCCTGTAACCAAGTAAGAGCTAATGGAAATCCACCACTTTTATTTAGTTTTAATGTAGATGTACTGGTTAAAGGTGACCTATTTTTACCGCAACTTTTCATAAAATGACGTTCCATCAGGGAAAGCACCAGGTAATTTATTATAGCAAGTTTTTTAATCAGAAATGTTTTCTAAACGCCCTGAGAAAAGTTTTACCTTTTTGCAGCACTCACTTCTTGTCAGACGACAGAATGTTGCAGAAAGTAAAAGTACTCCTATCCTAAATGTGTGGAGTGAAGTGATGAGGTGTTTCTTCAGAACCTACATACCAAATCACAGCCGAGTTATCTCATATACTTTTCCAGCTGCAATTCTACGGGAATTACAGTAAGGTTATGCATGTAGATTCATCAAGATTTAATCATGAACCGACTTCGTATATCTCTAATTACCACTTATGGGTGTACAGTAACAGAATTTAAACATTAGTCACTTTCCATATGAAGTTAAAAATATACACATCCATTGACATTCTATGTCAAAAATATAAAAAGCTTTTCACTAAAGATCATAAAACAATTATCAGTTCACTTGAGTAATGATTAAGCTCATATTTCATGGCAAGAAAATGCTTAGCATACGATGAAATCTTACCTAGCTTGAAGGAGAGAAGGTAACCAGGAATAGCTGTAACATGTTGACCACAGTCCCTGCAGTGACTGAGCAAGATATTACCCGGTTTTAAATCTCTGTGCATGAAACCTTTCCGGTTCATAGCATCCATAGCTGAACCAATCTGTATCAGAAAGTGACGGATTGTATCTTCCGGTAAGGTGCGCTTGGCTAGAGGAAATCAATTTCAACTAATGAATAACTATCCCTTACCTTGTAGATATTCAGAGAGATCACCACCATTACAATACTCCATCACTAAATATACTCCACTGCTGGATATCTGAGAAAGGAAATAGTGTTACCGAATGATGTAACATACGCTATGATCATAAAGTCGTACAATGTTTTCATGATTTAGGTCCTGAGGGGGATAAATGAGAAAAAATGAGACAGACCAACCTTCAGAACACATATTTCTTTGCTAAGAAGCGTCTTTGATTTTAAGACATTCTGATCTTTTAACATAATTTTTATTGCAACGAGTTCATCTGGATTCTAAACAAAAAAATTTCAGGTTAGTGTTATATCTTACGTTTCTAACTCTTCCTTTATACACAATAGCGAATGCCCCATTACCCAGAACATCTGCTGGATTATATTCGTAAGCTCCTAAGCTTATCATGGTTGGTACAAATGCAATAGTTTTGTCACAAAGAGAAAATATTTAACTGCACAGAATTTCGGGAAGTCGGTTGAATTCAATATTAGTGTCAACTTTCATCAAAACAGTTCGTCTTTCACAGTTATTATGTGGAAGGCAAAGTACTAAATACTACATGTTATCAATTAACAGTGCTGGTCACCATCTTTACCGAAAGTCAGCTGATGAACAAAACTTCCAAAACGAGCGCTACACGTCAATATTCAACATTTTAGTCTTCAGGCATTATGCATATTAATTGCCACAAAAACAACCCCTACTATATTCAACTTATTTGCAAAGAAATCCTTAAGATAGGTAAACCACAATGATTCGACTAAATGAACTCTGACGCTAATATCCAATATCCTGATTACGAGCTAGTATAAACCAGTGATTTCTTTGAGCTCGCTTCTTGATTGTGAGGTAGAGGTTCCAGATCTTCGGTGAGCTTCTGCGTAGTAAGTCCCGCCACTCGACTGCTTTAGCTCTGGTAGACTCCAAGAGGAGTGGTGCGGGGATTGGTCAAGATGTGGTTTGTAGTATGCAGTATGTTAGGACTGTATTGCTGCCGTGAATGGAGTTTGACCTAACTGCCGTTGTCATTCGGTGTAGTCATAAAAGCAGAATAGTAATAATAATAATATTAGGTTGTAGTGTAGATAATATGGGTTGAGATAAGTGGAATAATAAAGGTGACCTAAGGAAACGATAGAGTGAGAGAATACAGAACAGGTCGTGGGGATTTAGTTCGTACGCTTATCCATTAACAGTGTGGTTTTGAGTTTTACGAGGATAAGCCATTGAGACACAAGCCTTGCATTTCTGCATGATTGTCTAGCTTCCGCTTAAAAACCTCCACAGATGGCGCTGTAGTCACGGCCGCCGGTAAAGCGTTCCAGAGACGGCAAACACGAAGCGAAAAGAAATGTGATCGCACTCGAGTCTTTGGTCTCTGGTGTGCTATCCTTAGCGGGTTACCTCGTGGAAGCCTTTAATCACTTAATGGCAGGATGCTTTTATTTGGATGGGCCTGGTCATTTAAGATCTGGTACACGGTGATGAGGTCTCCCCTGTGCCTACGGTAACTAAGTGTGAAAAGACCTAATTTCTTTAGTCTTTCCTCGTATGATTTGTTGCGGAGGCCGATCACCCATTTTGTCGCTCGTCTCTGGACACTTTCTAGAATGTTAGAATCCCTTTTGAGTAGCGGAGGTGCAATGATATCATGCACCTCAAGGTGTGGCCTCACATATGTCTTATATAACCTTAAGAACAGTTCGGGCATAAGAGCTCCCAGCTGCCTATGCATAAAGTGTAAAGTTGCGTAGGCTTTGGCGACGTCCCTCGAGTAATTTCCACTGGTGTCTAGCTTTTCTGTTAGAATAAGACCTAGATCGCACTCTGATGGAACACAACTCAAGTTCTGGCCACCAAGGGTGTAATTTACACTCTGTGACCTGCCGGAGTGAGGATGCACTACTTTGCACTTCTTTAGGTTGAAAGGCATTCCGTTAGCCAGAGCCCAGTTTCCCAGAGTTTGCAGGTCAGCCTGCAATCTGTCTGAGTCTTCCGATGAGTTTATTGCTCTCCAACTCTTTACATCGTCAGCGTAAAGAAGCGCAGAGCAGTTTAGTTGGGAGGACAGGTCGTTGATAAAATCAAAAACATCAACGGCCCTAGGTTAGAACTCTGGGGAACCCCTGATGCCGAGGTGTGCCAGGACGATTGGATGCGGTTGATTTTGGTTCAGAATTCTCTCTCACCTAAGTAATCTTTCAGCCATTCGAGAAGTGCTCCAAAAACACCCGCCTTGCTTATTTTGTGAAGGAGCAGACCATGGTGAACTGTGTCGAATGCTTTCGCAAAGTCGAAAAAGATCACGTGGGCTGTTACCTTTTCGTCCCAGGATAGTGTCCAATCGTTCCAAGCTAGTAGAAGATTCGTCACGCAGGATCTTCCCCTCCTGAAACCATGCTTTGCTTCGTGAAGAAGGTTAGTCCCATCGAAGTATTTTCCCATGTGGTCGTCAATGAGGCTTTCCAATATTTTCGAAACCACTGGAAGTAGAGCAACTGGTCTGTAACTGGTCGCATTGTGCCGGTCACCACCCTTGAAGATAGGGGATAGGATTGCTCGTTTCCAATCACATGGAGGTTTCCCTACATCAAGGGAATGTTGGAACAGATCACTTAGGGGTTGGCGGAGACTTTCTGAACACTGCTTCAGGACAGATGGTCTGATGTCATCACAACCTGAAGACTTTCCCGAAGCCAACTTTCGCAATTTCACAAGTACCATAGCCGGGGTGATTTGAAATCTACCCAGCAGGTTTTTGCGCGTTGGTTTTGCGATGTAATCTTGATGTTCTGTGGGGGTAATATCCTCGTTACTGTTTAGCTGCCTGTGAAAGGCTAGGCCGAATATCTCTGCCATTTCAAGACTAGTAAGAGATTTCCCATCAGAACCCACTAGATAGCATGCTCCCTGGTTGGTCGGTTTTCTTTTGGACACAAACCTGTATAGGCTTTTGGGGTTCACGAGAAGCTTATTGGCGAGGTTTCCCTGAAATGTCCTTCTATCGCTCCGGACTCGTATGTTACATCGATTCCTGAGTTCAAGGTACACTTCATATTCGGGTTGACTCTTCGATCGTCGCCACGCAAACCAGGCTTTTCGCTTCGCCTGCAGAAGGTGTTGTGTCCCCCTTTTTAGCCATGATCGTTGCTTCCTAACTTTTAGCGTGACTAAATGAACAGTGTCTGAGACCGCATGGTGAATGATATCCTTTACCACTCTCCAATGTTCTTCTACTGTTAGCTCTGTCCATGTTTTAGGCCAATTTGCTTCAGACAGAAGTCTTCGCATTTTGGTGTAGTTGGCTTTGTTATAACACAGATAGGGCTGTGTATTGTCCCACTGTAAGCGCTCGCGGAGGACTATGTCGAATACTATGACCTCGTGGTCACTACTACCTATGGGAGTCGTGATCTGAACGTTTTCCACTAGTAGCTGGTCACTAGTGAGCACGTAATCCAGTCTAGAAGACTTCCTATCAGGGCCCCATCTAGTATCCATCCTGACATTTTTAGTGAATCCAGCCTTCCTGATGGTATGCAGCAGATTTCGATCAAATCTATCATGGGCTTTTCCCGACACCAAGTTAAGGATGGGGCATTGAAGTCACCAGCTATGACAATTTGATCATAACCCATGTCTTGAGTTGCTGAGATTTTATTTAGCAGTACCTGTGAATAATTTCAGGTTCAGATTCAGATAATAAGGATAGTACAGTCTTGTTGCTTATGTTAATCCTTGCAGTGTATACCTCTGCAGCGATCCAATTTCTTTTTGAAAGTGTTCAACGATGAGGCTGTTACCATTAAATCAGATTGACCACTCTGTGAGAGAGCCTATATTCCACACGTATTTTATTCTTCCTCGGTTTGAGCCCCTTTTTGTGATGACCTCGTAAATGTATCTCGGAGGGAGAGAAAGGGAAGGGCTAATCCCTAAATCGTCCATCAATAAAATGTGTCGCAGAATTAAGTCTCCCCTCCTTCTTCGTTATGATAATGAGAAGAGATTTGAACGCTACACCCTGTTATCAAAAGGAAGGTGAGAGTTGCCACTAACTAATTTGCTTAGTACATTCAGTATTGTTTCCATGATGTCTGCCCTCCCTTGAAGCATGGATTTGTGTGCAGTATCTCAGATGAGGCCTGACATGTGCCGCGTAGAGTACTTCAAACACACTCGTCTAATAATTTGAAAGCACTTCGAAGTGCGCGTAGCGTTCGGGAAGCCTTACCTGTGGCCCCAGTACCCAACCGAGCAATGTCTTGATTGCGTTAGGTTGTTTGCGACTACCCAAACGCTGACCGAGGACCTAATGCGCCTCGGGATCATCGCAGCCTACGAGCGTTGTGACCCCTTTATCACCAAGTCCGCGGAATGGCTATTCCTGGATATGTGGCCAGCGATGGGCCTCTTGTGACAAGGTCATATACAGTGGTGTGCCCTCTAGGCCTAAGCTCCTCAATAGATCCTCCGTAACTAAGGTAACGTCGGAGCCGTTATCCAGAAAGGCATATGCATCTATTTCCTTACTGTGGGCTCGCACCTTGACGGGGATCACACCTAGCATAACTGTCGTTCCATAATGCATAGTAGCAGCGCATGTCGCCTGTTCTGCCACTTGATTTACGATCGGCTCAACATGTAGCAGTGGGTGATGTTTACCCCTGCAATGAGCTTTGGAACACTTTATACCCGATACGCAATGATCGATACGATGTCCGACCTCTAAGCACAAAAAGCATGGTCTATGGCGGCTCAATCTGTCCCGCACATCTAATCCAACGAACCCCCGACATGAAGCAGTAGCATGGTCAGACCTACAGAGGATACACAGTCGCTTGGGTGCAGGGGTCCTTTCTCCCTGTATGGCGAATGATGTGCCCCCATGACGACCCTGTCTATTTAGTGAAACTTGGGGGTTCGGGCGGTTAAAACCCTCTGAAACGAGGTGTCCGTATCGGTTTTGTGCCACTCTTGCTTCTGTAAAAACAAACTGGCAAAGATCCTGAAAATATGGCTCTTGCCTTTCTTGATTCCTTGCGTCTGCTAGTCTGGCCCAATTCCTTCGAACTGCTATCGGCAGTATGCGTACTATTCTCTCGAGAGTTGCTACGGAATTTAAGTCCGACAAATAGTTTATTTCAGTTGGAGCAATCAAGCAATTCTGAAGCTGTATCGATAAACGGGATAGAGATTTTCCATCTTCTGCCACAGGTCGTAGGCTTCCAATCATGTCTTCAATACGGTTTCGTGCGATGACGCGGATCTCTCCAAACAGATCCTGTAAGATACCCTTAGCTCGCGCATACGCACTCTCAGGAGGCAAGATCACGCATTCATGTATAATAATAATTTTATTTTCATATAAATATAAATTTACATGAAAATGCATGCCATTTTTACAGGCACGATCAAGTATGTTATAATGTCAAATCTTAAATTGTCTACAAGTTAATAATGTTTCAACAGTTAAATATTTGATACATATATATAATTACACTCATTGTCTGAACCAGGCCGTATAGTTATTGAATTGTACAGTTGTCCTCCAGGTTGAGCGGGAAAATCGACTTCGTTTCGTTTTCATCCCGTGGTTGTAGGCATACGATAACCAACCAATATTGAGGTAAGTA